GTGGTTCCCATCTTGGTTGGCTCCTCCGGCAACCACTTATCTTTCCAGGCCTTGGTCCCTCACCTCGAAAATGAGGGGGCCAAACTAATGAATCCTTGAAGCTCCTGCCCAGACCAAACGTTCTGATTCTAGGACACAATTCAGCCTGGCCAACAAGAAATACTCATAGATGGGAGCCCCAAATCTTCTATTTTGGTAAGAGACTAATTTCTTGTTCCTGAAAACACTCATTGACACATTGACATCCAAAGACCTACCTTCCTGGGTACCAGGATAAACACCACGGGGAAAGTGCCAACTCTGTCATTTCTGTAAGTGACAGGACACCCTCAAATTTAATAGATGCCACTCACCTGAAAAAATACTTTTACTTCCTACTGTTCCATAGGCCACATTAAGAAAACAGAACCCAAAATATGAAAGAAAACAGCTAACTTGTTCCTACAAGTGTTGTCAATGTATATGCACATGAACTCAAAATACCACAAGAAAGATACACAATGTGGGATAAACTGAGAACAATTATCAGTCATGCAGAGACGTAAGGCAGCAGGAGCTTGCTACTCATGACCTTGGTAAGATCTGGCTTTGGCAGTCGGACTTGACTTCAGAGTTTGGCAGAGAGATGAAAGCGAGGTCAGAGTGTCACATACCACAGCCGCTTGTTTTACTAAATCACAAGAGCCATATCTGAGCACAACAAAGGCAAAGAAGTTGGCAAGAAAATACAAATTATAATAACCCTCCACTTTTCTCAGAAGTAGTAACGTGAGGCTGCAGAAGTCCTGAGTGGAGCAGTGGAACCAGTTTAAGCATCACTGATAAGGGCACTTAACCACAGTGACTGTTTGTAAGAGCCTGGGGAGGCCAGTTGGTGTGGATTAGACACTTGAGGCCCAGGAATAAATAAATAAAGATGTACCTTGATAACCACTAGAACTGAAGACTGTTGCTAAACTCTGCAAGGCCTTTCCTATCTTCTGATATTCCTTGGGTAATGCTGGAAGAGAAAAAGGAATAAATTATTAACTAGTCGGGTAAGCAAAATGAAACGATTCAACTGTTTTCTAAAACTGATTACTTTTATAATAAAAAAATTTAAAGTGATTCAAAATAGTCTATATTATTTAATAAAATAATGATGCAAAATTATTGTTTTTAAAAACTGTTTCAATTATTTAAAAAAATTTTAACTAATCAGTTGTTTAGTTAATGGTGATGCTGTTACCATGAAGACCACCATAACCACCTCCCACATTCTCATTCACTGAATGGAATTAGAGGGTCACATAGCTAATAAATGGTATATTTGGCACTTGTGATTCCTAATACTTTGCTTTTCCCAGTCTGCTATGTATGAATGAATGATTATTTGCAAAACAAAATCAAAAGCAATGAGGTGTGGAGAAAAACATGACAGTGGGACCTCACAGGACCAGGGATGAGGGATTTTAGCTTTCTCATCTATAAAAATAAGATTAATTAAATCACCTCTAAGGCTCCTTCTAGTGCTAAAATTCTAGGCTTCCAGGATCGCTCTGGAGAACTTCCTATAGAAGTCTCTGGATCTTAGGCTACTATCTTTGCACCTGTATATAATCCCCTTAAAAACATCTGTTGTCTTTCCAAAGAAACCATTACTTATTAGCATCTGATGATAGTGCAGTATTAAAAAAGAAAAATGATTCAAATGTTTCTTAAAAAAAATTGAGGCCAGAGAAATTTGACATGTAGTCTGTAAGCTGCAGTAATCAGGAAACACGAATTCAAACTATATTAGCTTACTTAATTTTAATGAATTGTTTACCCTTTTGTAAGTCAGTTTTTGCCTCTATACCGGGGGTTAAAAACACTTGCCGTGTGCTTCACCACGCGGACTGTGTGCTAGATGTATCACTTCACAGATTAGGAATTTAAAAAAACTCTTTTATGGGAGAAAAGAAATTATGCCTGAATCAAATTCTAAAGAAAGCACTTCAACCTCCTTTCCTGGCAAAAGACAGCAGCCTAAAGCTATTACTATTTCATAAATTTGGCTTATGAATTATACAGGTCATGGAGTTAACCAGATGTTTAGACATAAGGGATTTAATGTTTTAAAAGAAACCAAAATCTGAGATTTTTATGATATCCTTAGATTTTACTGTAAGATTTGCATTCATTTAAAATTTTCTTAAAAAAAAGGAAACAGATGAGTTTACAGTTAAAATTAATTTTAAAAATTAAATTACTTCATTTATTTCTTAGAGAGGTGTCACCCCCTTTTTTGCCTATGTGTTATTCTCTGTGTCCAAAGACTTGAAACAGATTTTGCCTTCTGATGCTGTATGTATGTATGTTATTTTTTCAGACTCAGTTCTATTTTTGGTATTTCTTTGCCATGGAAAAGGAGCAACTATCACTACTCCTGGTGTCTGCCCCTCAAGCATGAACAGCTGGTACACTACAAATAGTTCTGTTGATACAAAAACATCATGTGAATGGTGGAGGACCATTCAGTGTAAGGCCTGCCTTTTTCCCACAAATGGCCAGATAGTAATTATTTTAGGCTTTGTCAGGTGGCAGGTGTGGGCTGAAAGTACTCAACTCAGCCACTGTTAACTAACATGACAGTAGCCAAGACAATACATAAGTAAGTGGGCATGGCTGTGTTCCGATAAAACTGTATTTACAAAAACAAGCAGCAGGCCAGAGCTGGCTCTAGACTGTAGTCTGCCACTCCTGACATAAGGCCGAGATCTTAGGTCTGGATTCAGCAGATCTGAGTGTTACTGTTAACTTCACTGTGCTATTTCTATAGTTCATCCATAAGTCACTTCACTTATGTGTCTTGTTCACTAAAATTATTTTTTGATGTCAAATTCTGATTTCTTCCATTTATTTAGAAGAAAAAAATCAACTTTAAAAAATTCTTTACAGAAATAGATAATAAAGCTCTTTCCTATGCTGAGTACCAAAGTATTGATATAATTTAAAAGTGGATATGTGTTATTTTTATAATTCAAAGTAGAAGCCATTTTTTTTTAATAGCTGAATGCAACCAGTGTGCTCTTAGGGCTTATGAGTGGAAGGCCAGACAGTTCTTAGTGACAGACTAGACCTCTTTTCCCAGAGATTAACACAGGTGACCCAGGGCTGGAGCTCAGTTTTCTCTTTGGGACTCGGAAGGCTGTGCTGGCAGGAAGGGCGGGGTAAGCGCAGGTGACAAAGGCTGGGTCCCCTCGGGCAGAGTGACTGACTGCAGGTGGGCCAGCCTCCGCTGTGTCCTGAGCCTTAGCGAGTGACAGGGCAGCTGGACATCTGACTGAACTTCTCTCCTGGGTCATGTGACAACCGAGCAGCGTGGGTTTGAGGACACAGGGAATCAGTTCAGCAGAATGACAGCCTGCACCACAAGGAAGGGAGGGGGACAGGGAAGAGCAGGCAGAAGGCAAGGGTGACAGCGCCACCTCCTCCTCAGCAGTGCGCCAGGTCCGGCCCCTGTTCCGTGCTTTCCACCACCGCCTACGCTGGTTTTTCCTCCTAATGAGAGCTCCAGCCAAGTATACAACATCCTACCAAATGATGACTATTAAAATGTAAAACTAAAGATAAAAAATATTTAGTGCACATGGTGTTTTTTATGAGCGTTCCTGAATTGGCTCTGTTAGAGCCAATTTTCTACTGTTTAGCGGGGGTTGAGAAGGCAGGTTCATCAAAGGCCGTGGGGAAGACATCCCCTGGGTTCCACGAGCACTTCTGTTTGAGGTGGCGGGGTCCCCCCGGGCGGGCGGCCGAGGCCGGCACTCACGTCCGGTGCACCGCTTCCAGTGCTCCTGCCCCACCGTCAGCAGCTCCTTCACGCCGTCATCCATGGCTTTGGTGAATTTACTAACAGCATCGCACTTCTGTTCTCTGTGGGGCAAAAACACAAGAAGGCGTGTCCTTGACTCCATTAGCACATGTCCAAACAGTGTGAGGCGCGAGAGGAGAGAAACCACGTGGGCAGGGGAGCTCACACCCGACATAACCACAGGCACCTGATTCTTCCACTGTAACGGCTGCCCTTTAGCTGAATCAGTCCTAAAACAGACTTGATTCAGGTTTTTAAAGAACTACTTCGAAACCTGCGGCTTGTGTTTTAACTCTGCTTCCTTTCCCCTCAACTCTTTGTGAATTTTAAGTAAGATTATTGTAAAGTAAATAAAATCTTCATTTCTTGAATATCTTACTTATTGACATCTGATCACTGGAGGTACCACTGAATCTATAAAAATGTAGTATGGGTTGCTAGTGGTCGTTGTTCATTCATTCCAGCAAGTACTTTAATGAATCAGAGAAAATAACCCAGATACACAGCACGTGATACTGAACGTTATCAGCTCCTTAAGGACTGTAAAGTTCTCACCAACCTGAAAAGATCGTCACAATATATTTTTAAATAAAAAAAAGAGAATGCACTGTGTGAGGTCGTTTTTGTTTAAATGATCAATTTTTCCTTCAGATACATATGTATACGAGGGTTGGAAGACCACAGACCTAGATCGGTATATTAGCATTGATTTTTCTCTCTGGGTCGTTGGAAGACTGTCTATATTTCTGGTAGTACACAAGCAATGAAGATTTTATGCTAAGAAAAAAAGCTTCTTAAAATTAACCACCCCTCTTTCTTATTGGTCTTTATGTAGAAAAGGAACTCCTCCAGATTTTCAAGCAAGCCTACATTGAAAAGAAGATCGCATGATTAATAACAACAGATTAAAAAAACACAGATAAGGCAGGTTTGGGATTGCTTCCTTCAAGGCAACATTCAAAGAGATTTCTGCCCTGTAGAGTATTCTGTGGGTGTTAGCTGGCCCTGTGCCACCATTTCATCATACTTCACTAGAAATAACCACTAACCACTATGTCAACTTTGAAATCACTGACTTCAAGGTAGAAAGGAAGCAGACTTCAACTGCAGTTATGGTGAGAAAGACAGTGCGTCATGTACATAAGATGCTTTCCCTGTCATCGACTACAAACCCCGCTCATTTTACACACTCTGGTCTGACAACGTGAATTCCAGCTGCGGTCGTACTGGGTAGGATTTGTAAGCAAAGGAGGCGAACACAGTGTGAGAAGGATAGTCTGGCCGTGTCTCTTACACTTCTAGCAGGTCCAGGTCTGGTGCCTCTGGTTCCATGGTGGAAAATATCATAACTCCCACTAGCTCATCTTTCTCGGCCTTCCTCTTCCCAGTCTTCCATTCCTGTAAACAGGAACATTACGTCAAAGTGGAGCAGAGTCAAACCGGTCTTTCACAATCCCCTGACAGAGTTGGCTCACTGATCATCTTTATCTTCCTAATTTTGGGGAAGCAGCTCCTATACTACCTCCACACACAGAGAAGTGCCCCAAACAAAAACACACAGTGCGATGAATTCTCACAGAGTGAATTCCTGTGTAACTACCACCAAGGCCAAGAAAGAGAAAAGAGCCAGCATTCCGAAGCCCCCTCCCCAATCACTACCCCTTCCCTCCCCGACAAAGGTGACCATTATCTTCTCTTTCATGGTTACTATTTCTTCAAGTTGGAGTTTTACCACCTGAGTCCCTACACCATGGTTTTGCTGGTTTTTTGAAACAGCTAAGAACCCTACACTACATATCCTTTTGTGCCTGGCTTCTTTTGTTCAACCTAGGCTGAAGAGCTACATTCCCACTGTTGTGATTGCTGTAGTCCACTTGTTTCACTGCTGTACTATACATTGCATCATATGACTATTCCCCAATTTAATTACCCCTTCAACTACTGACAGCAAACCCAGACTTGGCCACCTGACAAATAAAGCTGCCATGCACACGTCTCCTGGTGCACATGTGCATGCGTTTCTGTAAGTGTATATTCAGGCAGGGAAGGTTGTTCAAATAGATAATGTCAAACTGTTCCAAACTGGTCTCACCAATTTTCACACCCACCAGCAGTGTATGAGCGTCCCAGAAACTCATCTCACCAAGACAACACTAGTAGTCAGTCTTTCTAATTTTAGCCATTCTGGTAAGTGGTACTGGTATTCACTGTGGTTTTAATTTGCATTTCTTATTATTAATGAGATTAAGTACTTGTCTATACATCTACTGATGACTCAGCTATTTTCTTTTGTGAAGTACATTACCACATCTCCTGTTTTGCTACTGGTTTACCTTTCTTATCTGTTTGTACGAGTTTTCCCATATTCTAAACTGCAGCTCTTGGTTTGGTTATATATGTTCGTATCTTTGACTTGTTTTTCCTTTTTTAACGGCTTCTTCTGATAAACAGAATTTCTTCATTTTAATGTCATCTAATTTGTCAGTCTCTTCCCGTCTGGTTAGTTGGTTTTGTGTCTTATTTCAGAAATCCTGCCCGACTCTAGGGGTACGAAGACTTTCTCCTCCATGACCTAGAGGCTTTATCGTGTTGTCTTTCAGATTCAGACTTGTGAACCATCAGAATTTTTTTTTTAACTTAATACAGTGGAAATTTTCACACATACAAAAGTAGAAAGAAAAGTGCTTTAATAAAGCCCTCTAGACCAGCTTCAACAATGGTCAGCTTTTTACCAGTCTTTTTTTATCTCCTCTCCTCCATCCTACTTTCTTTCTTGCATAATTACTTCATGGAAATCTCAGATATAGTATCACTTCACCTGTGAATAGTTCATCATGTATCTTTAACAGATAAGGCCATGTCTTAAAAACATAACCACAGTATCAATATCAAACCTAACAAAATCAGCAGACCGTTGTGAGGGAATGGCCAAATTTCATTTTTCCAAGCGATGTATCCCACTGACGGAGCATCATTTGCTGAAAAGCCTGTCCTTCCCCCACTTACTCAGGAACGTCTTT